GATCCATCCCACCTACGAAAAAGTCATAAAGACGGAACCTTTCACGGCGGTTCTCGAAATGCAGTTATACCCATCTTTGGTTGGCACTTTTGCTTCGCTCATCGGGCTTTATGCCGGCGGTGAGTGGGGTGAATTGGGTGGCGAGTATGAAGAGTTTAGCAAAGGGAAGGCTTCCTATGTGATGACTGTGGTGGGCATTGCAGTGGCACGTCAGGTTTCTTCTGTTGGTGTCGTCAGCTTGATCTTCATAGTTTCTTCGCTGTTCTCGAACGCCATTAGCACCCTTGCTCTACCTCTCATTCCGGTGTTCGCTGTCATCTTCTTCAAGGATAAGATGAATGGGGTGAAGGTTTTGGCCATGTTGCTTGCCATTTGGGGGTTTTTATCTTATCTTTATCAGAACTATTTGGATGATTTAGAGCCTGGGAGGTCACTGAAGGATGGAAGTGAAACAGCTGATTCTTTGCTTCTTGATGCTGAAACCGCTTCAGGTGATTCTTATTAATTATTTCATTGTTATTAATGTCAATATGAGGCTTTGGTATTAGTCATGTAAATACATTAAAACTGTGTTGTATGTATATAAAAAATATTACATAAAAAATATCACTTATTAACCTTATAAAAGTGATATACACTTTCTCATGCATATCTTTATGACACCAATTTGTTATAAACGTAAATGTCAAAGTTTAGGTGTTGGATATATAAATACATAACTGTTTTAATGTATGTAATGTAAATTTTCCTTTTTTTTTTTTTCTGTTTTACTGAAACCAAAGACATGTTTGTTTCAGCATTATAATTTTTTTCCTGCTAGCTCCCTTCATAAGTTTTAATTTTGGTTTATTATTATTTGTATAGAAGTGAATATGCTTGTTCTGTAAATGCATTCTTTCTGCATAGAAAGAATTCTTGAAATGTAAAGTTTTGTGTATGGCTTTTTATACATATCAAAATAAAAACATTTGTTATACATCTAATATTGTGGTTATTTATTTTTCAGCATTAGAGGGACAACAAACTAAATTTCCCAATTTAAAGGGTTTTTTTATAATTAGCAATTAGCATCAAATTTAAATTAATTCATAAAAAAAATCTTAAAATAATAGATACTGGAGAGTATATATAGATAAGCATCATTAGAGATATTTTAAAATATATACAATATAAATTTTGATTTATTCTTATGTATTAAATTCATCTCAAAATAAATTAACAACTTTATAATAAATTGCGATCAAAATTTAGTAAAAATATCCCCACAATAAAATTCACCTTAAATTTGCATGAAAAAACATTTGTGGTTCATTATTTTTTTTTAATTCAGTTTTGTAGATGTCAACAAATTTAGTTGGTAAAGTTTTTTATAATTATTATTAAAATCTTGAAATTAAATTTCTTCCACAATAAATAAATTTATGCTTAGACATTTAGATTTCTTTTTCAAGGCTTGAATATCATGTGTTTAATGGGATCTTCATTCGTGGTGTTGTTGCATTGTTGTGAATAAGAAGAAAATTATCCTCAACCTGTATAGTAAGCAATCAATGAGATCTTTTTTCTTTTAGTTGTGAATAAGAAAGTCGTTCATGACTTACGTAGCAGGTGATCAACAAAATTTTCTTTAGAGTTTCTCTTGTGTTTTAGTGATGAAGAAAGTTGTCATTGATTTGTCTAGCAAACGATCAATGAGATCTTTTTTTGAGTTGTTGCTGCACTTTTTAAAGGAAGAAAATGATCTCTTGACCCGCATAGCAGATGATCAGTGAGATCTCCTTCTGCATCTCTCAAATGTCGTCGTCTGGGGAACCTCGCTTTGCTGAAAAATAGAGGAATCACCCAGATTTTAAGGAATCAAAGTTTCTCAAATCTCTTGACCCGTCATAGTGGCGAGTTGTGATAACATTTATAGGCTGCAAGGGTCAGAGTTAGGAGTTGCACAAGTTGAGGACCACATAAGTCATAGTTGGTCACATATGTTTAGTGGTGAGCATGATGACATCTGTAGGTTGTAGAGGTTGGAGTCGGGAGCCGAACAAGAGAAGTAGACTACGTAGGTTGTTGTTGATCACATAAGTCATAATTGTTAGTTGTGATGTCGTTTGTAGGTCATATGTGTCAGAATTGGGGATTGCACGAGCTATGGACAACTTAGGCCGCAGTTGTTAAAGCATAAGTTGTAATAGTGAGCTGCAACAACAAAGTTTTAGGAGTTTGGAGAAAATCACTATCTTTGAGGTGTATTATTGTGTCGTCTTAGAGAAGTCTTGTTCACTGTATGTGGGATGTATTGTTTTACTGTCATTAAGGTGTATTGTTATACTGTAATAAAGGTGCATTGTTACACCATCTTCGTGGTGTATCGTTGCATTGTATTCGAGGTGCATTGTTACACTATCTTTAGAAGGCATCGTTACAATATATTGGGGTGTTTTGTTACACTGTCATTAGGATTGTTGTTATACCATATTCAAGGTGAGTTGTTTTGTGATGTTATGTGGGATTCTACGGGATCTCGCATAGATTTATATATATAAAATTTTTGGATGCGGACTAGATTTTTTCATGATCCCACGGGATCTAGCGCAGCCCATTGATTTAATGGGACTAAACCTATCAATCATGAGTAAATAAAGAGTTTCCTTCTTTGCAAATACTGCAAAGGAAATATTATATTTGCATGGAATCTTTCCTTTTAGCTGGATATTTAGATTAGACATATGTATTAATTAAGTTACTTAAAATAGTTTATATAGAATATTATATACCTAAAATAGATTTTACAGACTATTATTTATTGGAATGAAAGCAAAGGAAAAGACATTCAGCCTATTTGTTAAAAATTTGATATGGTATCAGAGCTTGAATCGGTCTGAATCCTTGTTATTCTTGACTTTTGTTATCTTCGTCGGCATCTTCATCCACATCCTTGCTAGGAGTGCTCGTTCTTGTCTTTGTTTGAGTTCTGCGACATCTTCGTTCACCTTCGTCGAAGTCCAAGGAAATCCGCTGCTTCTTTGTTAAATTGCGATCTGCTTTGCCGCAATCGTATTTGTTGCGATCCGTCTGCTCATCCGTTGATTCCGAAATCGGCTCGATCCCTTCTCCGTCGATTCCGCGATCTCATGATCCCGACCCATCATCCGCTGATTCCGCGATTCTGCCCTAGCTCTTTTCCTCCGCGATCCCTTTCCACCGAGATCCCTTTGTCGACGATCCGTGCCACCCTAGCCCTTTTCACCTTTCGTTGATTTAAGATTTTCTTGATTTTTTTTTTTGATATCTTGACTATCTTTGATTTTTTTTTGTGGTTGATTTCAATCAACGAAAATTCTATTTAGAATGTCTTCTGAAATTCTAGCTATCAGATTTACGGAAAAGAATTATGTCGCAGGGGAATTTCAGCTCAGAATGTTCTTAAAAGGGAAGGAACTTTGGGGTCACATTGATAGGACTTCTCCAACTCCTACTGAGGTAAAAGATATTGGTCAATGGGAAGCAAAGGATGCTCGAATTGTTTCTTGGATTTTGGGATCTATTGAGGCTCATATGGTGAACAATTTACGATCCTTTGGCACCGTTAAGGAAATGTGAGAATAATTGAAACGCATTTACAATCAAGAAAAAATCAACATCTATTAGATACTGTGCGCACATCACTGATAAAATCCTCTGTTCCAGCTAAATTTTGGACTGAAGCTTTATCTACTGCAGTTTATCTCATTAATCGTTTATCATCTCAACAATTGAAGTATGATTCTCCATACTATTGATTTTTTAGTAAACATTCTAATTATCATATGGTACATACTTTCGGATGTGTTTGCTTTGTTAATCTACCTGCTCATGAACGTCATAAGTTGGCAGCTCAGTCAGTACGATGTGCCTTTATGGGGTACAATCTTAATCATAAAGGTTTTGTGTGTTATGATTCGATTAATAGTTGCAGGCATATTTCCCGGAATGTGATTTTCTTTGAGCATGAATATTACTTTCAGCATCATGTATCGACACCAGATACAGTTATGCTTCCACAATTTGATAATTACTCCGCGGATAAACGGTTCATGCCGGAGATTGTCTACAAACGACGTCAGCCCCCTTCACCTCCAATCCTCCCCGACCCTGATCCAGAAATTGCTCCAATAAGTCTTCGACGATCAACTCGGCGCATCCGTCCTCTAGATGGATATGGGTATTCCGCAATTCTAACTAATACTATTGTTCCTACCTCTTACTTTCAGGCTGCTAAACAAGCTTGTTGGGTCAAAGCCATGCAAGAGGAACTTCAGACACTTCAAGAAAATCACACTTGGGATATTGTTTCATGTCCTACAGATATTAAACTCATTGGCTGTAAATAGATTTACTCTCTTAAACTCCGATCTGATGGCTCTCTTGACAGATATAAGGCAAAATTGATAGCTCTTGGCAATCGACAAGAATACAGAATTAATTATGAAGAAACATTTACACCTGTGGCTAAGATGAAAACTGTATAGTTGGTGTTATCTATTGTTACATCTAAAAGCTAGTTCTTAAAGCAGATGGATGTTGAGAATGCATTCTTACATGGAATCTCAAAGAAGTTGTCTATATGACTCTTCCTTCAGGCTTGTTTCCTACACCTTCACATGATGTTTGTAAACTCAAACGATCACTATACGGTTTAAAATAGGCTCCACGGGCCTTGTTTGAAATGTTTCACAATACCCTTCTTAGCTTCTCTTTTATTCAAAGTCAATATGATTCTTCGTTATTCCTTTGCAAAACTAATAAGAGAATTGTTTTGTTATTAGTCTATGTTGATGATATTACCATCACGGGATCTGACAATCAATTGATGTCTCATCTACAAAAGCTTCTTCAAGGTTCTTTTCATATGAAAGATTTGAGATCATTAACTTATTTCTTAGGACTTGAGGTTCACTCTTCTCCCACTGGTATTTTTCTTCATCATCACAACTATACGAAGGGACTTATTACTTTGACTGGTCTTCAAGATGGTCGCTCTGCTGATACTCCTTTGTAAGTAAATGTCAAATATCAACGGAATGATGGTGATTTCCTATCTGAACCATCTCTATATCGACAACTTGTTGGGAGTCTCAATTATTTGACTATTACATGTCCTGATATTTCATTTGTTGTACAACAAATTAGTCAATTTATGCAAGCCTCTACACATCTTCATGTAGCTGCAGTTCGACGTATTGTTCGATATTTGAAAGGTACTCATCGTGGTTTGTTCTTTTCGGCGAAGTCTCCTATCAACTTGATAGCCTATAATGATGCCGATTGGGCTGGTTGTTTTGATACACGCCGATCTATTACTGGATGGTGCATGTTTCTCGACAACTCTTTAATCTCTTGGAAGAGCAAGAAACAAGATCCAGTGTCTAAGTCATCTACTGAATCAGAATATTACGCTATGTCCTCTGCTTGTTCTGAGATCATTTGGCTTCGGGGTGTGCTGGCTGAGCTTGGTTTTCCCCAACTTGAGTCTACTTATCTTCATGCAGATAATACGAGCGCTATCCAGATTGCTGTTAAATCCCGTCTTTTATGGGCGCACTAAACACATTGAATTGGACTGTCATTCCATTTGAGAGCTTATGAGGATGGCGCTCTGCTGATACTCCTTTGGAAGTAAATGTCAAATATCAACGGAATGGTGGTGATTTCCTATCTAAAACATCTCTATATCGACAATTTGTTGGGAGTCTCAATTATTTGACTTTTACATGTCCTGATATTTCATTTGTTGTACAACAAGTTAGTTAATTTATGCAAGCCCCTACACATCTTCATTTAGCTGTTGTTCGACGTATTGTTCGGTATTTGAAAGGTACTCATCGTGGTTTGTTCTTTTCGGTGAAGTCTCCTATCAACTTAACAGCCTATAGTGATGCCTATTGTGTTGGTTGTTCTGATACACGCCGATCTATTACTGGATGGTGTATGTTTCTCGACAACTCCTTAATCTCTTGGAAGAGCAAGAAACAAGATCGAGTGTCTAAGTCATCTACTAAATCAGAATATTACGTTATGTCCTCTGCTTGTTTTGAGATCATTTGGCTTCGGGGTGTGCTGGCTGAGCCTGGTTTTCCCCAACTTGAGTCTACTTTTCTTCATGCAGATAATACGAGCGCTATCCAAATTGATGTTAATCTCGTCTTTCATGAGTGCACTAAACACATTGAAGTGGACTGTCATTCCATTCGAGAAGCTTATGAGGATGGTGTTATATCCCTTCCTCATGTCACCTATGATCTTCAAACGACTGATATATTTACTAAGGTTTTTTCTCGGCAACGTCATCAATTTCTTGTCGGCAAATTGATGCTTCTTAATCAGACAACATCAATTTGAGGAGGGATATCAATCATGAGTAAATAAAGAGTTTCCTTCTTTGCAATACTGCAAAGAAGGAAATATTATATTTGCATGAAATCTTTCCTTTTAGCTGAATATTTAGATTAGACATATGTATTAATTAAGTTACCTAAAATAGTTTATACAGAATATTATGTACCTAAAGTAGATTGTACAGACTATTATTTATTGGAATGAAAGCAAAGGAAAAGACATTCAACCTATTTGTTCAAAATTTGATAAAACCACCTAAAGCAAAAATGTATTTTAGAGATTATATAATCAAATATGTCCCAAATTTTATTCGCTTCTTGTTTAGAATTGTATCCATCCTTCTTTTGTCCATACTAATCATTGCTAAAATTCTTAAATTTCTTATTCTTTTTTATTTTTAATTTTTTATTTAATTATAATAAAATTTCAAAAGAAGGAGACCACGACCAAGGAAACCAGCACCTCCCAAAAGACTTGATGACACCTCTCTCCTGCAAATTGAATCACTGGAAATGGTGGCTACTTGTTTTCCTCAACATCTTCCTCCTCGTCGGTCAAACTGCGGCTACTCTACTCGGCCGTTTCTACTACAACCAAGGAGGAAACAACAAATGGCTTGCCAGCCTCATCCAAACGACCACCTTTCCCATCCTCTTCCTCCCTCTCATCTTCCTTCCCACCACTTCGTCTTCCCCCGCCGCCAACCTCATGGGGCGCTTAGGCGTGACTGACATGGAATGTGCTATGTAGATCGACAAGGTAAAGTTTGCATCTCGAGCCTCTGACAGATGTCAGCATGCTGCAACTATTCGAGTTAGGTGGCGTTGTAGCGGTGATGATGTGGCTCCAATACCCGTCCAATCAGTCGCCACTCTCAGGACCTAAAGGTTTGGCTTTTGGTGGTCATGTGGTATACAGTGGCGTGGTGCCTTACATTAGCGTAGTGGCTCCGAAATTTTTTTTCATACGAACTGCAGATGCAGCTCTGTGTTCGGACTCCAATATTATGCTGCCACATGTACTGCATTGGGCCCACCTCATAAACACATCACGACAAGCCGCTCCAATAACCTCTGCTGTTCTACTTCAATAACCCCTGCAGAACAACTCCAATAGTTCTTCAATAACACCATAATAACCCTTCAATAACACCTCATTTTTTAATAAAATGTTAAATAAAAGGAATTTAATGTTACCCTTTTGTTCCTCTAGTGAAATTAGACATCAATCACATTATACTTAAGAAGTCCAAAACATCATAACTTACATATGAATTTTATGTTATTTCCTCCATTTAGCAAATCTCCTAGTCACCACTTAGCTGATACAAACCACATCATTGTCATCATCATCATCTAATATGCTCAATTTAGTAAATTTTTTAGCTATTAATTCCTTGATATAAATCACATCTTCGTCATCATTCAATTCTAAAGGTTAGGTTTCAGCATTATTCGGTTATTATAGTTGGTTTACAGGGTTACCGGGGGGTTATTGCGGCGGTTCACCACACGGTATTATCAGAGGGTTATTAGGGGCTATTGCAGCGTTATTGAAGCGGTTTTTAAAATTTTTCTGTAGGGGTTATTGAAGCGAGACTGTGACGTTATTGAATCTGTTCTTCGCGCTGTGTTATTGCGGCATTATTGCGGATTTATTAGAGTTGTTTTGCGTGAATTATTGAAGTTAGACCGCGGAGGTTATTGGAGTTTATGAAGTGGGCCCGATGTAGCACATATGATGGTGTATAACTGGATTCCGCACGTCGAGTTGCGTTCGCACTCCGTATGAAAATTTTGTGTGCCGCGGCTTTGCACAATGGCACTACGGTGCAAAATTAAATCCCGAGAGTCCCCAACCCTTGGGTTTTGATGTCGTAGACTCGCGTTGCAAAATCAGGCAAAAAATTAAGCAGGTTTTAAGTGTTTGAAAACGTCCCTAGGTATCACTTTTCTGCATGTATAAAAATACATGCAACACAAACAAACATCTTTGTTCATTAGAAAAAAAAAATTCATAATTCCGAATACGAACGATACATTCCCTAAACGGGAGGAAAATAGGTCCCGCTGCCGTATCGTTTTGTCGGCGATGCCACCCGACGAGAGAAAATACCCCTCTTTGGAGTAAGTTTTTGGGAGGATAGGGCATCCGCGTATCTTGTTCTTGTTCTCATGTTCATGCTATAGGTGATGGGAGGGCTCTGATGCTGTGGCGCGAAGGGCAGGCGCCATTGTGCCAGACTCAAATTTGCCAAATTTAACATGTTCTAAAATAAGGAACTGAATCTTTGGGCGTTCAAACAGAATGATGGCACTAACAGTAGTTTCAAAGCTTTCCACCCAATGTTACATGCATACCACTCAATTCTTATGTATTTACATATTTACACTTAAACTTCTTTTCTTACATGCTTACCATCTTATATATGCATGAAAAACATGTATTTCAATTTTTAAAATTTAAAATGATGGCATTTTTTATGTGATATGAAAGATTTGGGTGGGGTGAATGTAAAAAGTAAAGTTTAGATGTTAGATATGTAAAATTTATGGTGCTTTAATTTATACCAGAGTTGATGATGCATAATTTGAAGAAAATGAAGTATGTGTATAGTTACTAGTACTGGTGAAGACAAGGTTAGAAGTTAGAACTGGCACTTTCAGATTTTGAAAGTTTGCTTGGATTTTCATTTCCATGAACCTGGTATCACAAGTTTGAAAACTTCAAGTATGACTTTTTTTATCTGATTCCTGGAATGTATGAAATTGTGTTCATAGGTATTATGATTCATATCAGACTGTTTAAAGCATTAAAATTCCTTCTTGAGTTCACTTATCTCTGAAATACATGATACGTGCGGTACTATTTTGCATTGAAAATCTTATTTCCATTATTGCAGATGTGGCAGGCACTTAATCAGAATGGAGAAATCCAGATTCTGCAGTGAAGTCAATCAAATGAACTATTAGATTTATAATGACAATTAAAGTCCTAGGTGTTATTACTTATTATTTCTTGCCTATTAGTTCATTATTTCTTGTTTTTTCTTCTTTATTTTGTTTTATTCCTTTTCTATTTAATTTATTTTGTTATATATATATATATATCTTTTAATTGTGCCTATGGTAATTATATTTAAATACTTTTTTATCAATAAAATTGTGTTGCTCTATTCCAAATCTCAACATGACCTCGACTTATTCTTCTATAAACACTCTACAAATATCATCTATTACACAATATCTTTTTTCTTTTCTAATTTAACTCAATATATAGTTTTTTTTTTTTTTTATGTAGCATTTATGCTTCAAGCTAAACCATTAAATAGTTGTAGGAACAGCCCAGTAGGGCTGTAAATGAGCCGAGCTTGAGCGAGCTCAGGCTTGACTCGTGTTCAACTCGTTCGAAATAGCTCGTGTTAGTAATCGGCTCGTGAACGGTGTGTTCGTGTTCGGCTTGAAATTGGCTCGTTAAACTAAAATTGAGAAAAATAGATGTAAAGTATGGGATTCGAACCTGAATCAAATTTATGCAAAAGAAGACACTAACCACATTGTCACATGAGGTGTTATAATTTAAACTTAGATATAAATATATATAATATATTATTATATAAATAATATATGTAATATATTGTTATATAAAAAGTTATATAATCTTTTTTTCGAGCCATTTCAAGTCGAATACGAGCGAACAAACTATTGTTCGTGTTCGGCTCGTTTATATTTCAAGCTTAAAAATTTGTTCGTGTTCGGCTCGTTAGGCTTAACGAACGAGCCGAACACGAGCTGTTTACGAACAACGAGCCAAATTGACAGCCCTACAGCCCAGAGGGTGGATCGATCTTTTGGAGACAGTTATATTGTAATGAAATTTTGGAGCTCATGTTTGTCAGATTCTGATGTAAAATTGAATGAGTTTAGATCCAGCAATATTAATCAAATATTTTTGAAAAAAGTAGTAATCTTCTTCAACTTAAATATTTGAGTTAAGGAAGATTTACACACAGGCCCCTTAATTCCTATGTATTTACATATCTAATATCTAAACTTCAATTTTTACATTAGTCTCGCTTTACCTATGCATGAAAATGTATATTTCACTTTTTGAAAGTTAAATATTTATATTTTTTTTATGTGATTATGAAAATTCTGGGTGATAAAAAGATAAAAAGTAAAATTTAGGTGTTATATATGTAAATACATGCATGTAAACTGGGTGGCATGTATGTAAATACAGCTTAACTTAAATGTCTTCAAATTTATTTCGGATGTGTTTATTTTCAGGTATTTTAAGCAATGTTCGAATGTCATAAATATAAATATCATCATTTGATACAAATATTATTTTTAAAATTTAAATTTTTATGTTTTAATTTTAGAGTTTATAGAAATATGAAAATAATTCTTGGTCTTTTAAAATTGAAATAATATTCATTGAGAATTATGAGAATTTAATTTTAAAGTAGCAGAGGACTACTAGGAACTATTTTGGCACTGTACTAAAATAATAGAAGAGCCGGGCCATGCTTGCGATAGAAAAGATGCTTGAGAAGGACGCACACCTCATTGAAAACAGGTTGCGTTGCGGAGAATGCAATAATTGAAATGGTTGGGAAAGAAAGCGCCATTTTACAGAAACCTACTGAAGTTGCAAATCTTTATCTTTTTAAAACGAAATTCTCCAGCAAATGGAGAGGGGGGATCAAAACTCTCAGTAGATTGCCATTCCGTGCAAGCTTTTGCAAGGGGAAAGGTAGGGAGCTCACTTCCTATGCTCCAAAGAAATAAGAGATGGAGGAGACTCATTACACGGCTCTCTTACTCTCAGGTTCCTCCTCCTCCTCCTTTTGATTTTCTTTGTTGAATTCAATCTTATTGAATGGATTGTTCTTTAATTTTTTGGATATTTCCCTTCTTGTTTTGTATTCCATTAGAGAGATTGTTGTTCTAATATGTGAACAGATGAAGTTAGGTTGAACCGAAACTGGGAAAAGAATGGCGAATGCATTGCTTAATTTTTGGGATTTTTTCTTTTTTCATTTGTGAATCATGGTTCTGTTCTTTTCCACTGCAATTATAATTCATTTTTATGTATGACCTGGTTTGATTTGTCATATTTAGAACACAAGAAATTTTTCTTCTGTTTGTTGACCTAACAAAGCAACAAAGATTTTTCTTCTGCTTGTTGACCTAACGAAGCAACAAATCCGACGTTTATTCTTGCTGAGATATTATTTAAAATATCAAATGTTTGATGCAAGTTGTTTTGAGTAAACGACCCTATATTGTTTTGTTGGTTTCTTCAAATACATAATTGTTCTGGTTGGCAAGAAGCTTAATATTAGCTTGTTCTAAAATTTTAGTCTTTTGTGTTGGTCAGATAGTCTTGGTTAGTGTTTAGATCTATTAGAAGTCAAGGGCAGCTTTTGACTTTAAATAGGATTTATTAATTAAATTAAACTCTTCTTTGTTTGCTTGTAAATAAAAGATATGTTTTTAGAAAATCATGATTTCATCTAATAAGTTTTGCTGTTTTCCAGATTCATTTTCTAACTTCAACCAACACCTGAAAATTGATTTAATGGGACTAAATCAGTTGAGCAAAACAATATTTTAGAGCTTATATAATCAAACATGTCCCAAATTTTATGCTATTGTATTGAAATTTAATCATGCTTCTTTTGTCCATGCCAGTCATGGCTAAAGTTCTAAGATTTGTTATTCTTTTATCTTTTTTATTTGTTATTTAACTATATTTATGCAGGTGCATTCTCAAATGGAGGAGGCCAAGAGCAAGGAAACCAGAACCTCCCAAAAGAGTTGAAGCCTCCTCCGTGCCTCCTCCCTCCAAATTCAAACAATGGCAATGGTGGCTACTTGTTTTCCTCAACATCATCTTCGTCCTTGTCGGTCAGACGGTCAGACCGTTTCTACTCTACTCAACCGCTTCTACTACGACCAAGGAGGAAACAGCAAATGGCTTTCCGCCCTCGTCCAAACAGCTGCCTCTCCTCTCCTCTTCCTCCCTCTAGTCTTCCTTCGCACCACCTCATTCTCCTCTGTCACCAGGCCCCGCCCAACAACCATCAAACTCGCCCTCATCTACGTCGCTCTCGGCCTCTTGAACACTGTCGATAATCTCATGTACGCCTACGGCCTTCTCTACCTCCCTGTCTCCACCTACTCCCTCATTTGTGCCTCACAACTCGCCTTCAACTCCGTTTTCGCCTATTTTCTCAATTCACAGACCTTCACCCCTCCACTCCTCAACTCCGTCGTCCTCCTTAGCTTCTCTTCCGCTCTTCTCGGCGTGGACAAGGAGTCCTCCGTTGACTCCCCCAATGTCCCCAGCGAAACATACATGCTGGGATTCATACTAACACTCGGAGCTTCCGCAACCTACTCATTAATCCTCTCCCTGATGCAACTCACCTTCGAAAAAGTCATAAAGACGGAAACTTTCAC